AGGAGGCGCAATGCTCAATTGCCGCGCGAGCCGCTTAGTAAGCAACTTGTGGCTGAAGAGTGGTCATACTGTACTAGCTGTGGCACCCGTAGCCACTCCGGGAGGTGTACATGTACATAGTATCAATTGCAGCTGTTTGCAAAATGATAAAGCCAGTTGAGTAATTTTTGTGTGCGGGGTGCCACCCCAAGTCTAACCAAAGCCGGTAAACGGCATACCACTACACACCAACACTGGCAGGCAGGGCGCTAAAGGTCTCGAAAGTGCAGTTGACTGCCTTCCGACTGCTCTCTGTGCCGTTTCTGGTGATTTTGCAGTTGTTTGTCCTTGGAGCAGCCTGTATGAGTGCAAATCCGGACTGGCTCTATCGTTTTGCAAACAGCTGTGATTTAATTTACTTTTATTCTATCAAGGAGGTTGAAGCCCTCTGCGCCCCTTGTCCTGACTCTCGGGTGGTGGCACTGCGCGCTGCCACCCTCGGCCAGGACATCGGGGCAAAGTGTGTTCTCCAAATGAGACAGGTCAGCCAATCAAATGCGATTATCTAAGATTACGTAAACTTACATCAGGAAACACCAAATTCTATAGTGATTTCCCCCCGGATACATAGTTTTCCATAGGTCTATGGAGGTCAGACAGGTCAACATAGATGGGGGGAAGCCAAAATAGGGAGTTATAGGTGAGATGTGTTTCCTGATGTATTACTAAGCAAAGACCGAACTACTGTCAAATATAAGGATCCCTGATGGTTGCTGCATGGCTGCATGCCATGGTACTCTCTGAGATTGAGTCCATCCTTGACATGACTCGGGAAGCTCCGTCTGGCACCAGCATCTTACCCCTCTGAATCCTTTGCATAAAGGGGCTGATTAGGGGAAAATATGCTCTCTGTATAGGTGCTAGCTAACCTCTCTAACATTGTAGAGAGTACTAGCATTGTGATAGTTGAATGTTAGGTGTACTTGAAGAGCCTTAGATCTCAGTGTAGGATGTGCAGCTGAGTATAGAGGTTTCTGAAGTGGTTTAGCAGGACAGCTGAATATTACCATCCTGCTCAGTCCAAGAGCTCAGAGATGTCTGTCTCCTGGAATGCGCAGGATGGATGTCCATTAATCAATAATGCATGAAGTAGTTATTTTAGCTGAATCTCTTACATGTTTAGTAATTGGAGGCTGGATACCCCAAACTCCCAATACATATCTGGCTGCTCCTAGTCTTGTCCCCAGACATTATAGAGAGAATCAGATCTCTCCATTCAGAGTTCCAAGATCTTGCATGAGATCCTCTCTATAACCTCTGGTGCACTTTGATCATGAGCTATTGCTTCCTGTCACAGCGTGACTCAGCACGAGGTCAGTAACATGTGAGCTGTTCAAAAATAGCACACTTACCAAGTTAGGTGCATCCAGCTTCGACACCTGTCGCACTATCACGCAGAATTGCAACCCATAGCCCTCCCACTTTAACTAAAATCTGCCTCAGAGTAGATGTTATTCTACCCTAGTATCTGTTGTAATTTTCATGGCAAAGAATGACAGGATTTACAGTCAGGAGAGCCTCCGAGTGCTATTCGGACTACCTGGTGGTGATATTGCCTCAGCTCCGGGACAGGCGGTGTGCTTGTAAACATACCCACTTTACTTTCAGCTCTTTGGGACCCATCTAAATGGGTGTCTGCATGCTGTTAATGCAAGAAAAGAGTTGTACCTTGGGTGCACGAGTGCTCAAGGATAAATTTGGTATGTGGCAAAGTCACGGGACCATAACCTTAGTGTGACCTATGATGGAAGGAATAGCTCACGATCGAAGTGCACCAGACATTATAGAGAGGATCTCATACAAGATTTTGGAACTCCAAATGGAGAGATCTGATTCTCTCTATAATGTCTGGGGATGAGACTAGGCTGCTCCTTGATTCTGATCGTAGAATGTAGCCATTGGGGCAGATTGACATACAGTACAGTAATGAACATTTATCACAATATTGTACTGTACGAAGTATAGTCTATGCATTGTCTTTGCACAGATAATGTCTTGCGAGTTGCACAGGATGCAAGACAATTCTAAGTCTGCACTTTGTAGCGGTGCCACTGGAGCACATCAGTACTGGTATCCTGACTGTAACGGGCCATTGACGAAGACCAGATTGCTTCAATGCTAGGCTGGGGTGGATATCAATACATTTGTGGGCTCACAGAATGAGGAGAACATTGTATGTGAGAGACAGGATCTAATGGCAAGACAGTACTTACATATCTTGAGTTCTATGGTATTCATTCAGCTTAAATGCATGACAGAGGCTCAAGACAAGGGTAAGACTGAACAAGCAGAATGTTTATTCTCTTAAAAGTACCTAGTAAACCCCAGCGGCATGAAGACAGCACCTATCTTCATGGAATAGAGCCTCCATCTCCATTGATACCTAATGGTGTAACAGCAGCGTGGGGGCGGGACGCGAACTGTCACAGAATGTCACGCCCTTGATGTGTTGCTGATTGCTTTTACCTCTACGACACATGTGGTTTACACACCGACTTCCACGTGTCACTCAATTAGTAGGACTTCCTTTGTATGCCTCTACCGGTGCAATGTATAATTCACTTTTTTACATATCATCCTTGAAGCTCTGCATATAGCACTACATTGTGTATATATGGCATTGCACTGGGTACAAATGTAATTATTCAAATTTGGGATTATCCATGGCATCACCCGCATCTTCAATATGCCCTCTAGACATATCTTTTGTGTAAATATGATGTACCCATGGCCACAGGCATCCTGGAGGGTTGTGACCACTGTCTACTAAGGAACAAACATGTACAAACAACTCCCGCCGAAACCCAACATTGCGCCTCCCATTGATAGGATGTCTGACGCGGATCCGAGCCAGTTCGTGTATTCTGTGTACGTGTGCAGCATCAGCACCAAGTAACCAAAGTAACCTTGCCACCGTAGGAAATGGACCATACCCAGCCTTTTATGGGCAGCTTGGCTGAAATTGCCCAGCTCGCTGCGTCTCAAGACATACCAGCTCTTGGAGCGCTACAGTGGCAACAGGTCATTCTGTGCGATGGAACTACCATTCGGTCTATACGCAAAACACGGAAACCGAGTGACCGTTACCGAAGCGTTAATAACACAACAAGTGTCCCTTCACTCCACGATACCGGTTCCAACGGTTCTTGACGTACTTCGGAACGGGCAGGACGGGCATATATACTTCCTCATGTCTCGACTCCCAGGTCAGCAGGTCGCCCAAATGCCGCGCTCTCTCAATGATTATAGCGACCGACAGATGGAGGTGTTTGTGACCACGGTGGGCGGATGGTTGGAACAATTGCGTGCGATAGGACCGTCGCCCTATGGTGACTCCGTCTGCGGCTTTCTCGGTGGACCATTCTACAGCTACCGCATCTTGCATGACAGACCTGTTGGTCCCTTCGCCTCGCAGGAAGATTTCCATGCGCAGTGGTTTAATACCCTCCCCGAAGAAGCAGACGCAGAGATTCGTGCTCTCGCCAGCCGCTTGCGCAGTCAAAAGCGGTATAGGATATGCCTCACGCACGGCGACATATCCCCCAATAACATTCTCGTGGACGAGGCCTATAGACCCGTCGGCCTCGTCGACTTCGGCTGCGCGGCGTGGATGCCGGAATATTGGGAACTCACATATTCGATTTACGGACGCCAGCTCTTTTACCCTGGCTGGGTCAAGGCGTTCACGCAGATCTTTCCGCAGTACAAAGACGAGCTGGCGGTGGAGACCGAGCTGTGGAAGTACGCCTCGCCGTGGTAGGGTTCGACAGTGTTGATAGCATTATGTGGGCGCATGACGTGCTGTGGAGAATGGAACTGGGTCTACGCGCGGTCACGCCTTTGAGAACTCTGCGTAGGACGAGGTAATGTGCACTTCACATTGGGTTACCATGACACCCTTGTTATTACAGACTGCTCAGCTGCGGTATTACAGATAAATATGACGGATATGAGCAGGATGAAGCCCTTTAGTTGATTTGTTCCCATTACCGAGAGTTTGCCTTTGTTCAGGACTTGTACGCCTGACCCACAACACTGAGGCTGCCGTCAGAGTTGTAGAGTGCGGAGTTGGGAGCGTTAGTAGCTGCGCCGGGATCGTTGGCCTGCTCCAAGGCGGTGGACGTCGCAGCGAAGAAGCTGTACCTATACATTCCACAAATATCAGCCAGCCATCCGGAGCGGTGAACGGGTAGTACGTACATTGCGACATAGTCAGCTCCGTTCAGGAAGCTCTTCGCCTGGTTGACGAAGTTGGCTTGGTCCTGGGCGCTTCCGGAAGAGAGGGCGAACTCGGTGATGACGAACTTCTTGCCCGGGTAGTGGTTGTGTGCGTTCTGAATGTAGGACTGGAAGGAGGCGAAGTTGGGGCCGTACCCTGCAACTCAGGGTCAGCAAACGGTAGCAAAGCTAGATCGCAACGATAAAGAAAACTTACAGTGAAGGTTAATATAGTCATAGTAGCAGCCACTGCAAGCACTGATGAAGCTGTCAAGCCAGCTGATGCCCTGGCCTGCGTTCGTAGACGACGAGATGGCTGGAAGCGCCTTCTGGACCTGCAAGGGATTGATGTACTGCTTGTACCAAGCGGCGGCATCGGTGGGCGAGATGCCAGCGAGATCAGGCTCGTTCAAACTATGTAAAATCTTTAGTACTGACATGGCCTCAGCATGTCTGGAGTACTGACCTGAAAACGGTGTTCCAGCCGCCGCTCGAGACACGGTTTGCAAGGTCGGCTACGGGGGACGACGAGCAGTCCATGCACCGCTGGGTACCGATAAAGTTAAAGTTCCTACGAGACAAGACATCAGTCAGCTATCCGAAGCCGCATGCGTACGAAATGTGATGCTGACTGAGTGTTAGCCGGCCTGTACGTCTCCCAGTTGTACAGCCAGTTCACGCCCTGGCCAGGGGAGCTCTGCAGAGCGTTCGGGTCCAAGTTCGTGTTCGCGTTATACCACGGCCAGGCTGCGCCGCGCTTGTCCGCCATGGCGGCCAAGGGAGCGAGTAGGAGCAAAGAGGTGAGCGCGGAGCTGAACATGACTGCAAAGGTTGACGACGGCTGAGATCGTGTAGTCCCCTGTGATGCATGACAAGGCGTGCATGGCAGGTTTTATATCTTGGACGAGGGCTGCGGTAGGACCTGCGAGCCGACCAGCATCATTGCCGTCGATCACGGTGCAATTGAATAAAGCTCTAGATTTTCCTGGTTGGGCGGATGACGGAACACGCTGAGAGCCATACGCGTACGGAGCCGCGGGGAAACTATTACCTCTCCGTCCAGCACAATTCAATACTGCGACGTGATTATTGCTACTGTCCATTAGTGGTAATTCCCATAAGAAATCGACAACGTAAAATGCATGCGTACCGTAAAAGAGCATATGGTGGACGAGCACCTCGGAACCATATCCTCTCGGGACTGATCACGGGAGCCCCCTCGGCCAACCCTACAGTCGCCGCAAGAAACTAGTTTTCAGAAAAGCGCTGTCTTGTCTCTGCATTCATATCACGCCTTTGCATGCGTTAGGACTAGCCGAGAGCTCTCGGAGTTGATCCAAGGTTGATCCCAGCTCGATGCACGCGTGCTACATCGAGTTAACCGTCACATTAGCTCATACGCGCTGTCAGATCCGTATGTGGAAGCTGCCAGAAGGCGTACACATTGAAGTGGATGCCTGCGCATGTGGCATCATCAAACGTCGATGGTAAGGGGTAACTTGGTAACCTTTGGCTAGGGAACGCAGTGCATGCGCGGAATGGCCCCAGTGCGTACGTTTTCAGGGCCTTCTGTGCTTGCGATACTCTGGGATCTATCGACTCAGACCTAGCCTGAGATACTCCGAGTGAGTGTTCCTAACAACTCGGGGATTGTGTGATTGTCTGAGTCTGCGACGACCCCGTGCAATTTGGGGAGAACGAGAACACCCGGCGATGGACTGGGTCGGCGGGCACATGGTGCCTCGGATCACAGAAATGTCCAACATAGAAACGCAAGAGCACCGCGCGCTGATCTCGCGCCTTGCGAATGTCCTGGAAACTCAGGAGGAGGCGACAGGAGGTCGCATGGGCCTGATATCCGCGATGGAGGTGACCGTATATGGTAATCTGGCGTATTGTGGCAAGCACAGCCACATCACTCTGGTTTGATGGCAGCCGACTTTGATTTTCATGACATCAAGCTTTTAGAAGATGCAACTAAAGGTGACGGGTCCTGGACCTACGATACAAGATAGGTAAAGCGCGAGCCCGCTCAAGTAGCAGACGTCATCGTGTCATATTCCACGTCCTTCTCGTCCAGCTCCGGCGAAGAGAGGAGGACCGGAGGGTTGACGTTTGCGATTGGTCCCTTGAACCAATGCACACCTCCATACACAGGGCAGTAGTAGTATAGAAGGGAGCCTAGTGCGACCGCTCCCAGGACCGCGACTGTGTAATTCATGTCGGACGCTGTGGGATTGGGGTTTGCAGGGAACAGGAACACTACGACGGCGAAGAGCATCCACGCCACCGCTGTCGCTGCCACAGGGAAACTCTGGAAGGGGTGCAGACTCAGTGGGGATCATGGAGTTTATTAAATTGCTGCCTACGAATCGCCCCAGGGTGAACGGTCCGGGCTTGAAGTCATTGTCAAATATGAATCTCGCCATGATAGGGATGGAGTAGGCTACGTATGGTGCCGCTGCTGCGAGGGTAAACACTGCCCCAATAGCGGCAGATCCGGCGAAAGACAATAGGCCTAAGACACCGGCGAGCCCTGCAACCAACCAAACACAGTTGACAGGCGTCTGAGTACGTCTGTTAATGCGATATAGACGGCTTGAGAATGGTAAAGCCCCATCACGGGAGAAAGCAAAGCTTTGTCTAGAAGCAACGGTTAACTGTGAATATCAAAGGTTATACCGATTGTCGCCCGGCGTGACTCGTATAGAACATACGGTGCTAGTCCCCATCATGAATCTGTCCATAAGATCAGCGAAAATTGTTAGAAACTGAGATCGATGCAGTCGTACTGCAAAGTAATAATTATGGACCACATCGCAAGCGCTCCTGGCTTTCCAAAGCTGTTGAGGAAAACCTGTATCATCTGGTGAGATATGCGGGCCAAGAAATGGCACCAAGTCAGTGGTGCTTCAACTCACGACCGCCAGAGGTTGTCCGATGGTGCTGTCTACTATGTCACCGAGGTCTGTTCCCATACAGAACGCCACAACGACGTTGAGCACTGTTTGACAGAAGTATGTTGAATGCATGAGGTCCTTGTTGGGAAGTGAGAAACGCACCCCATCCAATGACAGCTGGTGCGGAAGTTCCCATGATAATGGCCCATGGCACCGCAGTACTCGCGTTTGATGCTTCTTCGCTGATATGGACGGGATCGTCAAAGCCACCTAAGCGAGTAATATATGTGGGTCATTTGGTAATTCACACTGTCGTGAGGACGACTCACCGACTGCCCACAAAGGAGCCAGGAAGCTCATGATAAACGCAAATCCAGGCGACCATCCAGTAACTGCGAGATAGTTAGCGCCACGTGCTGACATGCGCAAAATACGTGCGATTTTGAAAGTTCCCGAAGGTAAAGCTGGCCGTGTTCCTATGCTCCTTGGGTGTGGCAGCAGGAAGCGCGACGACGATCGCAATGAAACATCTATCAATGACGTCGATGCGCGAGCGTACCGGTCATGAAACGTGACTTTAAACTCACAAGAGATTCAAGGCGATGTGGAGGGACTGTATCCTCGCGATATATTTCGTAGCTGTGCTGCGTACCGTAGCTTGAACCACGAGTATTGCGCAATAGACGCCGCTAAAAGCGCATAAGCCATGTCTTTAATGCTTTCCAGAGAGGGACGAACAATATATGGGCATTACTCAACGCAAGTCGTTCGTCGGAGCCGATGGAGATTGCTGCATTCAGCTGTACGGCAAGGCCCCACTCCACTGCGGCGACCCCCGCGACAAGGCCGATAGTATTGAAATCTAAGAGCCTCGGTCAGGCTGGGATACAGGAATGAAGTTGAATGTTGCAGCTCACAACCAACTGAGCGGAGAGTGGATCGATTAGTCAGTCAATTCTTGCAAGCGGCTTGATGTTTACGCACCAAGCCAACAGAGCAGACAACGCCAGCGAGGAGAAGAAAGAGAGTAAGTCCAGTAATAAAGACCTCCAGACGTTGGCGCAGCAGATCCTAATTCTGCTATAGCTAAACCTATGAGGACGATGAAGATGGTACAAATGGCCCACTTGTGATCACCGAGTTCAGTATGATGAAAATGAAGCAGAGAATGCGAAGCCGATAGACGGCACTTACTCCCCACACCATCGCAACGGGACCACCGTTCGGTATAGCGTAGATAAGAACAGACCTAGAGTATGTTTATGGTCAGACTTGAATCAGACACAGTTGCTGCGACGGGTGCTAACGCAAAGGACGGGACGGCACCGATAGCGCTGAACATGACTCCGAAGAGTTCCCAAGGCGTGAATTCCCGCTGAAACTCTTGCTTGTAGCCAAGGCTCTCGAGGCGGGCAACGTCTCCACTTTTGACCTCGAGAACCGACTCACGAGGGGGGGCCGCCTCTTTACGCATTGTCATGTCTACAATGGAGGACAGGACGGCTCCTCTTGCAGATAATTAACATATATAGCGCGGATGATAACATCTCGATCATGGATAAGAGAGAAGCTCTCGATGAATGGGGGAGGTGGGAAATTCAAGGTGTCCTGGGTAAGGTATCATAGTCAAAAGTCCAAATATCCAAGGCGATGTGGCACCCCTAGGGACGAGATTCAGCTGCGTAGTACACTCGGGCTCGCCCTTCGGCCTTGATAGCAGGTGTAGCGTATCTCCTCGCAGCAGGACCTCCCAAAATAGAACGGTGAGCGAGAGGCGTCCGAAGGTCTTGGAACCTCACATTGCATTTATTTCCGTCCCGAAGTGAAGCTATCGCTTCACAACCAGGATAAGGCCCTGCAGCTATCTCCTTCCACACCGTGTGCTGCCGTCGGTCCGGGTGGTACTGACTTCTCGATAACAGCGCTAGAATAACATCGGGGCCGACCGTCGCCGTCTCGATCCTCTTACTCCTTGGAGCATCGCACACCCTCCTCCCAACTACTTGAGAGGACGCACGACGGTGCAAACGCACGAGCATCTCGCCCACCTTCATAGCCTGCACGCGATGCCAGAAAAGACCATCATCCCCGCGCGCACGGGTGCCGCATTCAAAGTCCCCAGCGGCGCCACCATGCGCATCAGCACGCCCTCGGGCACGCAGGTCGTCGACCTCTTCGCCTTCGCCGCCGCCGCCCCGCGCGACGAGCACCTCTCCATGGCGCACACGCGCGCGGCGCTCACGAGGCTCACGCCGCGCGTGGGCGACACGCTCACGAGCAGCCGCCGCGCGCGGATGCTCACCGTCGTGGCCGACAGCACGCCCGGCGTGCACGACACGCTCATCGCCGCGTGCGACGCGTACCGCTACCAGGAGCTGGGCGTGCAGGGCTGGCACGCGAGCTGCGCGGAGAATTTGGAGAGGGCGCTGGAAGGGGTGGGGTTGAGCGTGCCGTTCACACCGGCGCCGTTTAATCTGTTTATGAATATACCGGTGAGGGAGGATGGGACGCTGAGTTTTGAAGAGCCGGTGACGGGCCCTGGGGAGTATATCGAGATGAGGGCGGAGATGGACTTGATTGTGGTGTGCAGTGCGTGCCCGCAGGATATTCTAAGCATCAATAAGAGGAATCCTACAGAGGCGGTCTTTGAGGTCTTGTAATGTAGCGACAGCTTGTACTCACGTTTTGCCCGCTCTAAAAAGACAGACCAAGCCATGATGACCTGTGGCCTACGATAATTAATGCAAAGATGGCGGTTGGGGAATGGCTACTTCACGATGCTTGGGTAAGCGGGGACTTTATGCTCCTCGGCATGTCTCTGATACTCATGTTTCTGGTATTAGAAACATTCAAGCACCCGATCGCTGACCCATAGCAAAGTCCAGAGTCACCTTGGAATCAGACAGTGGGCGCACATAGCTTAGGTTCACCAGTGCCAATGTGAAACGGAGTGACTTGGAGCATACCCCCAGTTCGAGCGTCTTCTGGGCAAAGGCCAACCCAAGCAAAAGATCATGCACCATCCCGATCCCGTCGCTCCCACCTCCAATACTAGATTCACGTACCACTCCAGCGACAGCTACGTCACCTCGTGATACTGAGATAAAATCCCAGCGCATCACAACTATACCCGCGAGGGACGGACGCCGACCAGAAGTTCGGTGGGCACATTTTTGCCTCCGCCCTGCCAGACATCCGAAATAGGGACTGTCTACGGATATCCGGGAACGCCTGCCAGTCCATCACATGAGAGAATCCACGCCCAGGGACATGTCAAACCCAGTTGCGAATCCACAGCTCATACCTCGCCGGACCAGAAGGACAGAAGCCCTTGGCATTCCAAGTCAGCGACGTTTATGCAGACGAGAAGCCTCGGTGGAGGGTGGACGCGAAGCAGGCAGGGTACCGTAGGATCAGGTACCGCCCCCTCAGGGTCCGCAACTGCTTGATAAAGTTCCCAGAAGGCTTGGTCCTCGAGCGAGGTGGGCCAATGCCCTCGTGCGGTTTGTGCGGCATCTTGGAAATGGCTGCCATCGCGAGCAGAGGGATCCCGATGACGCTTGATGCCACATCGCCCCCGCGAAACGTCCGTCGCCAAGCAGGGATATATAGTCTTGGAATTCTCTCGTAAAATACAAAGACAGCGATGGAAGAAGGCCTCTGCAGGTAAAGCAGGGCAGCTTGAGTGTTATAAAAGAGTTGAGTGCCAAGGAAGCCGAGCATTAGCCGAGCAGCGTCAACGAAACAGAGGGGGCAGCGGAAAAAGAGCGGCGCTCCGACGTGGAGTTACCGATGGCGTCCTTTATCAAGCCTTTGCTCCCAACCCGTCCGTCGTCTCCTCGACCCTCCTAGTCCTAGTACGTGTGCCCCCGCGATGGCTGTTGAAAAGCACGAGACTGAGGCTGGCGCGTCAAGACCGGTGTCGGCGAAACCCTCCAGCTTGACTCTGGCCGGCGCGACGATGGCGGACGCGGGCGATGCGGAGAACCAGGGGCAGCGCATGTCCCAGCGGGAGTACTACAAGAACTACCTCATGACGAATGTCAAGGGCGAGTGGGCGACCGCGCCGTTGGTTGCGTTTTGTTTCATGACCGGGTTCATGTGAGTACTGTCTTGTCGTACGGAGGTGCCTCGCACCCTGCAGACAGAACGTCTGAGTAGGGCTGGCTGGCTCGGGACTGGGTTCGTCGTGTTCAGAGCGTCGCATCGTCGCTGTATGCGCGTTTGTGGGCCTTCGCCTTCGTCGGCGCACACCTACTTCAATGTCCTACTCATCTGCGTGCCACTTTGAGGCTAACTACTGCACTGGTACAGTGATGCCGTCGGATTCACAGCCGTCTTCGTCTGGCCAGGATTCCAGACGGGCAACTCAGTCCAGGTACGTCATTGCGCCCCCGCCCCCTCCCCCTCCCAACTAACCCGCCCCCAGCTCGCCCTCGCCCTCGCGCGCCTCTTCTCGCCCGGCAACACCGACTACTCCTTCCGGCCACCCGACCGCGCCGCGCTCGTCTCCCTCCTCACCTTCGTCTTCGGCGCCTTCCTCGGCCGCATCGGCGACCGCATGGGGCCCAAGACGCGGCTGTGGCTCTTCCTCGGGACGATGATCCAAGCCCTGTTCACGATGGCCGCCGCCGTGTGCGTGTGGCAGAGCGGCGACCCGAGCGTGGCGGACGAACGCGGCGACCCGGCGTGGACCGCCCCGCTGACGTACGTCGCGCTCGGCTTCATGAGCGCGAGCTTGGGCCTGCAGGGGATCATGGGCAAGCGGGTGAACGGGCAGTTTGCCACCACGAGTGCGTCGCCGCGCCGCTCCCCAGTTTACGACGACTAGCACTGACCGCGCGCGGGCTGGGGACAGTCGTGCTCACGACGATCTGGTGCGAGCTCATGGCGGACCCGAAGCTGTTCAGCTTCAAGAGCTGGGTCGTCTCGCGCGACCACAAGATCGTGGCCATCCTGTGCCTCTTCTTCGGCGGCTTCTGCGGGCGCGCGATCATCGACTCGATCGGCTCCGCGGGCGCGCTCGGCGTGGGCACGGGCATCCGGGTCGTCATCGCCGTCGGGTGGCTCTTCGTCACCGAGAAGAAGAACTCGGCGAAGCCGGGGGTGGGGAAGAAGTGATTGGGCTTGAGCTTGGGGTGCACATGGGGATTTGGGGGAATACGATACGACGATAATGCTTCTTGGTTTCCACTACTTATTATCTTCGTTAACGAATAGAATGACTGGAATAGATTGTATCCGACATCAAGAGTATCTGACGACCTGTGAGCTTTTCGGACGGCTGTACCCCAAGCGTCTGAGCATTCATGGCAGGCAGTAAACTTGGCTCTTGGAATCTTTATTTTCCGACTTCAGAATCGTAGAGCACACAACCGCAGGAATTGGGGGAGACGCATATGCAACAAATGATTGAATCGTGCAGATAAAATCGTACGAAATCGGATACTCTAGAAATGTAACATCTCTGGTAAGGAACACCGCTCCACGTCCTGCATTCCACAGAACCAGTCGCGCGCTCCAGCTAGAGACGTCCAGTGACTCTGGGACCCGCTGTAGGCTCCTGCGAGAATAAGCAGAGCAAATCACAGGGGGACAATAATGCGAGTCCGCGAAATGAGTGAGGAGAACTGACGCGGGTGAGCAGGTTTTTATGCCAGCGGGGACGTCACGTGCTGGTGTCGGGCAGGTCGGAGGGGACTTGTGCTCTGACCCATGGAGGTGCTCGACTGCTTGCGCTCATCCCACCCAATCACCCGGATTGGTCATACCAAACGTCGGAAGATGCTTGTATCTGTGCCGACATGGCACGTAATAAAAGCCTCAGCCAGACAGAGGAGAGAGAGTGGAGGTCAGACGTTGCAAGGTATCTCTTCGGTACGTCGCGCGCGGGTGCAATCCGCCGAGAGCAGCGGATGGACTACCAGCAGTCGTGGTCCAACAAGTGGCATCATATCGTCGAACTTGACGAACGCTCCTAGGCCTTGGGGAACTCGAATCGGCGAACACAGGGCATGGGGCGCCTGTTCATGTTCGTGCGGTCTTTCAATCACTGCCATGCCCCTTCGACGTGCATGATTATTGCCTATACGACATTTCGTCACCCCCGCGACATCCTCTCATTCACTTCTTGACTCCACGGCTCGTTTTCGTCCGACTCTTGCCATGGGCAATCCCCCGGAAGGCCTTGCTCCTTCTGACAGCTCCTGGGACGCAATCCTTGCAGATGGAGAGCCGGCTCGCGTCTCTTTCTTCGTTCCTCGCTTCGCTCCCGGTAATGTAGCATTCGTCAGTCTTGTCGGTCGGGAACTGTCTCCCAGTCTTTTAGCCGCGCGGCCGCACTCGAAGGTGGGGAACAGGTCCGGTGCGAGCGGGAGAATCGTGGCCAATGTGCACTTTATTTCAGTGAATCGTGGTGTCGTGCATATACATCCGGCTGATCAGGCATGATTTCCTGCTGTTGAGGGAGCTCGTACCCACTCCGTATGTGCGTCAACATCAGTGCACTTTCGGAGGTGTATCTGCCCCTTTCCACTCGTGTATCTTTCCTTTTCCGCTCCGCTTCCAACATTCTTCTCCAGTCTCATCGAAAGGGGCTTGTTCCAGGCTCTCTGATGTATGTCCCGCCGCATTGGAGGTCGTGGAACAAGCCCCGTCCGAGCGGGTATCGTTGGATGGCCAGTCCCTGAGGATGGCGCCGCCCGTCGGTAGTGTCCTCTTCGCAGTTGGCATGTATATGCGCGCTGGTCAAGGTTGGCTGGCCAACCCCACCTTGCGATCTTCGGTGGCTTACTTAGATTTACGCCGCCGTTAGCGCGGCACACGAACTCTTCCTGGTTTTTGCCAGCGGTGTACGCCCGACTCGAATCGTTACCTGTCTTCCAGCTGCCGACCCATCCCCTGCGCCGGTCGACGCCCCAGGGAAGTGTCGAGAAGGCTCTATCACACATGCGCTGACACCGATTCTCGGCCTCTCTAGGCTTGATCGTCTCAACCGCCGCGATTCAAGTCGTCCCGACACTACCGCAACGACATGCTTGCGCAAGTACGGTGCTTACTGCATTCTTTCTTCCGGACGTCGTCGTGCGCTCCTTCGCGTCCAGGCACTCCTCGTTCACCATAGCAGGAATTGAGACGGACGGGCTGATGGGCACCGGACGCGGTCACGATGCCCCCACGGTGCGTGTTTCGCCACCCCCGGAGCTAGGGATGCACCTGACCCCATTTCAGACCCGTCGCGCACTTCAAGCTCGTTAACCAGATATTCGGGGTTTTCAGACCACGCGCGAGTGGTGTGCCCTACTAAGAACAAGGAAGAGACGGTGCAAGGTGCGTCAGATCCGAGTCACAAAGAAACGTCAAGGGAAGCAGAGCCTTGCGGTCTCGTTCAATGTCTAACAGAACCAGAATTTGGATCTTGGCATCGTGAGCGTCCTTTGATTGCGCGGAATAGCGAGTCGTAATGAAGAACAAAGAACAACGGAAAACGAATCATACTCATGCTCATGCCACTGGCCCTCTCTCGCTCTTTGCAGGTCGACGCCCGAGCTGAGACTCTTGTCTTCAGCGAGGACTCCCTGGCCTCATAAGGCATTCTCGCCACTTCCGACTCTTCTTGTGGGCATCCTCAGGAGGTCACCTCGCAACGCCGCACGCCACACACCGAACGACCACTCTCCGGGATGCAGTCCGCGCAGATTCCTATCCGAATCACGTCTCATTCGTTCCCTTTGCCCCAACAATGGTCACTCCGATCGAGCGTGGCTGATTCGAGGAAATCCATCAGCACCGGATCTTCTGCCACTCACGCCTCTGCATAATATCCCTTGTCTCAGAACCTCCACCCCCGGCACTCGGCGGACTCGTAGTGAACGGCTTGGAAGCAGTCCTCAAGGAGACACGTCGCACCGCCTCTCACGTCCTGAGCCCCCCCGGTACTCGTCAGCTTCGCTGTTCTAGGATGCCCAGGACACGACTGTACTGGGTGCTTTGGAACATGCCTCGTCCGCTCGAGTCTGTCCTCCGAATGAGTCGCGGTGCCACAGGCGTGCGCTCTGGTCTGCTACGATCTATACGCTTTGTGACGCTGGTCCATTGGTAGCTTTCGCGGCGAGCTAGGCTGCCGTTGAACTGAGTTCCTACCGGTCCAGCGGGATGCGTCCATGCTCTTCTCGTTACAGGCACAGACTGCTCTCCTGCCGCCCATCTTGTTCATAGTGCACTTTCGCGCGCGATGGTGAGGGACTGGCTTTCCGAAGTACAGCGGTGGGCTTCCCCGTCTCGAGATTTCTGGTTCTTTGGTGTTCATTTTCTCGACTCAGTGCCCGCGTCGCTGGCTTTTCCCGTGGGAACTGCTCTGGAAGACACCATGCTACGGCACCCGTAAGACTCACTGCGTACTTGACAGCGGCGTATTCTAAAAGCACCAATACGATGGCGTACTGGATCCTGGGGAACGCGCCTCATCCAAGCGAGAGTAGTTGACGGTCGCGTTTTCATGAAAACGCTCGGCGTGGTCTCTTTGGTGAGTATCGGATATTGACGAGTCGTGCTGTCATGAATATGCGGGTGTGATCAAGGTTGGCTGGTCAGCTATGGTAATGGCGCGTGTTGGTACGGGATTGTCGTTGCCCCGATCCCTCTATCATCGGATCGAAGACCATCAACTCTATTGAGGTGCGTCGATACGCAGCATTGTAGGTGGCCTTGTTCTGGCCAATGCCCATGTCCTACCATCTGGTTCCTTAGGTACAGGCACTCACTGGCGCGGGTACATCCGCTCGGGACAGTTCTGTTGGCGGCGGGCGTCATGCCCCGCATCGATGCCCGTCAGTCCCCCGTTCGGACCCGCCAGCGGGGTACCGCCTGCTTTCACTCAAGTCACACCGCTCGCATCTATGGCTCTGGCCCGTCCGTCATCGAGGGTCTGTCACGGCTTCCTGTCCTCCAAAACCCCTGTCGTTGCCTCTAGGCCCTGTTTGGTGCACCGTGCACGCAACAATGGCCTGTCGCCGTGAGTTACCGCGCGAGCGCTCGCTGCGGTGCTAGTGCAGGTACGCCCGTTCAGACTGTATATGGTTCTGTCAGTGGCGGCCAACGCTCTACCTTCGTTCCCGGTGTCTTTCCGGGACGAATGACCTGCGATGTGGCCGGTGGTCTACTCTTGCCGCCGCGGCTGCCCCAGCGGTGAGTGGTCTCCTCATTCGATCGTGCTGCAGCGCTTGTTTATGTCTATTCTCTGGGCACGCCCTGTCCCTCAATCACTTGCGACAGTCCGCCCTACCAACGTGCGTCGCTATAACCTTCGCCATTCCCGCTCTGGGTGCTCTTGTGGGCTTGCCTGCATATGTGGTGGTCGCACATCCTCTTGGCATCTGCGTCTGCACGCGATGTCCATCTTCCCTGTAAACTTATTTGTAGATAAGATTGCATTGCGGCGCACATCCGGGCAGATTTGACGTCGCTTCAGCCGCTTCGCGGTGTCATCATGGCTCAAACGTCATTTAGACCGTATCGATAACATTTGTTTGTGTAGGACACACGTCTACGCCAGCGTTGTCAGCCTGGTCCAACATTTCAGTACGGCGTACGCATCTCCTCGAGGCGTGCGTATCACGCGGGCCGAGAAAGAAGCGGCTCAACAAGAAACCTGCCTCGTATTCCCGGGCTTATCTTGTACGTTGATCTGCATGTACATAGACGGCCCCTCCCCCTGCATTCCGCGACTCGACGAGCGCGTCAGCGCCGAGAGCACACCCATGTCAATTGCAGGCGTAAATAATGAAGGCCCTTGTAATTTCTTGCTGGTCCGGGGCGATGTTGTTTCAGTTTGACAGAGGTCCAGGGTCAGGTATGACGCAAGCTGTCAAGAGAGCGAGACAAGTATCGCCGGCGCACCGGGGGTCGGTGTCGGTGCCCTCGAAATTCTTGACAGATAGAAATCACGAAGATCATGGATGGAATTGATCCGGTGCTGTTGGTAGATGTCTGACATACATGTACATACCGCGAAAGCTCGAGCTCGAGTTCAAAAGTACAGAGGGCTGGAAAGACGCGAGGTGGCCGTGTACTCGGATTTTAATCGTAGCTATAGCTACCCCTACCGGATTGAATGTGTTTGGCACATGGTAGTAAGCGCGCGTTATTTTAGCGCGAGGCGTGAGACTGACGTGTGATGAGGTGGGGCAAAGCCTGATGGTCGTGGTTATGGGCCGCCATCAGGACCCGGAGAACATTTCGGGAAGCTTTACAGCCGTTTGCAGATCGATAGACCACCAATTCAGAAAATCGCGTATAGTCGGAGTGGGTCGGAGTGGGTGCCAGGGACGTCGGAAGAAGGTGGGGAAGTCCAAATGGTCTGATTTCCGTCTCTCGGGGACTTACAATTGCTTGTCCGACGTGGTCCGACTGTAAATGATTTTTGAAAAGTGGGCCCATCAATCTGCAAACGGCTGTAGGCGGGAACGAATATTCAGAAAACTGCAAACAATTCCGAAGAGTTTCGAGGAGGAGGATACGAGGCCGGCGGACAGAAAACGTGGGCGTCGGTACCGAGGCGTATTAGGGTTGGGCCGCCGGTCCGGGATAAGCAGTGGCCGGAAAAGGGCAAGAAGCCGGAAGCCCGGCCGCGGCAGGGAAGAGAAGGGGGCAGTTAGATTGACAGGTCTCGCAAATAACTGGACGTGTACGGCCGACGTGCCTCCTCGCTGAGTCTGCGCAATGCGGTACGTCGCTCTCCGAGAACGACTTATGTTTCTGTTCTGATAATATTCTCCGCGGTTTCGCAGTTGGGTGCGTCCCGCAACTTGTCGGAGCACCGTTTCGCATACGCTTTGCTTTACATGAGCCGCAGCCTGTGGACGCCCTCCCAGCCAACACTCGGGCGGACAAGGATTCATCCTGAAAATGAGAGTCGATCGATACCCCCGATGTCGATGTCGCGCACAGCTACAGTCCCAGTCCACCCCCAACGCTACCCTAGACACGTCCGCGATGAGACGTCCAACTGCCCACTCCCAGGCGGAGGCAACCCACTCTCCTTCATGCTCAGCCTCGGGTCGCTCGGCGGCGCTTCGTTCTTGCTCTGCAATGGTGCTCTCTCGTTCACATTCCGGCGAGCTGGTCTCAAGTTCGACGTCTGACTCGTCCCCCACGGCTTCTGCTCCACGACATATCAGCGAAAGGACGGCGACGAAGAGGCCGCGGTGCGGTGGTAGTTTAGAAAACAGGACCAAGAGATTGCTCCGTCCCCCGTTCATTGCGTGCGTCTATCTTTCAACCCTGCCGCATAGCAACCAGATTCTGACATATGCCTTATTCGGATCCCCCCGCCCCCCTTTCCATCTATCAACGTCGTTCTTTAGCGAACTGCTGCCGCTCCTCGACGTCCTGGTGTGCCGCGGGACGCGGGCGAAGGCGCGTGCGGCACTCGTGATATTCTTTTGGTGGAGCTCCACTTTGGCAGCAGGGCCAGGAGGCGTCGGCGTCGCCGCGTCCCCTGCGCCCCAGGCGTCCTCCGATGCACCACCCTCCCCGTCTGAGACGCCGTCCCCCTCTTCGTCACTGTCGCCTACGGACGTCGACTCGACGGCGACCTCAGCTTCGCACGAGTCGACGTCCGTGAGTCCTACTACCATCTCGCCACCCGCGCAGCTTTCGACGACGTCGACCGCGATGCCCCTCCCCACCTTAAGCATCTCCGACCCCTTCAGCTTGCCGCCTGATACCTCTCTGTCGCTCTCCCTGCCTGCTATCGGTCCTTCCACGTCGTACACGGATACCACCACTACCACCACTTCAGATACCACCATGACCACCACCTCGTATACCACCTCCACGTCTACAACATACACGACCACCACGAGCACCACTACCGACTCGCCGTCCACCTCCCCTCCGTCTTCTTCGACATCCTCCTTCTCCTTCCCCACGACGCTCTCCCTGCCGACCACGCTATCGTCGTTCTCCTTTCCGACCACGCTCTCCCTTCCGACGACGCTCTCCCTTCCGACGACGCTCTCCTACCCCTCGACGGTCTCGCTCTCCATCCCGCCGACGACCTTGTCGTACTCTGGCTCGTTCTCGCTATCCCTGCCCATCCCGCCCACGACGTATTCTGGCACGACGTCGTCTACCCCCCCCACCACCACCACTTATCCCAGTTCCACCACCACGTCTACCTCCTCAAGCTCGGTTTCGTCAGGGTCATCAAGCTATTCCTCGGGTTCAATGTCAGTCCCATCTTCCTTTCATCCTCTTTCAACTCCAAGTTCTTCAAGTTCAAGTTCAAGTACGGATACACGTACCATTGTACAATCTTCTTCTTCTTCATATTCAGCATCTTCGTTTGGGAATTCGGGCGCCGGATCTACAGGTACGGTTTCTTGGACGGGGGAGGGCTCGACGGCGGTGTCTAGCACTGGCGCGTCGACTTCTTGGGTTCCGACAGCAGCATCTACAGGTACTCCTTCTTGGACGGGGTTGAGCTCGACCGCGATTGGCGCGTCGACTACAACTACAACAACTTCTACTTCTTGGGTTTCGACACGATCATTGGACTCGTACACGGCTTCACCCTCTGCGCCGCCAGCTGCATACCAAAGCCCTACCGCTACGTCTGCTCCATCTTACCCCGACTCGGCGGCCTTCTCATCGACGTCTGCGAGCGCCACGACAGCGCCTTCAGGGGCGGCATCGTACATTCCGACTTCGACAGCCACGACGAGCAGCCCGCGCGAGCGGTCCTCTTCCCGCGCTCCGACGTCTTCCGTGCCCCCCGCGGCGGCGCCCGGATCGAGTGCGCATAGCAGCGCGGGCCGGTCAAGTCTGTCGGGCTCGGTGTCACTTGGTATGCTGCCAACGAGCGCAGGCCCGGACTCGGTTTCTTCGCTCGCGTACACCAGCCCCTCCTCGTCTGCTGTCTTGTCTTCCGCTGCTGTATTGCCTGCTGGCTCTGTCTTCTCTGTTTCGTATACGCCCTCACGTTCAGTTACGAGTGCTACGTCTATGTCGCCCCCTCTTGTCTCCTCTGCGCTCTCGTCGCCCTCCAATCCCCCGTCCTCCAATCCATCCTCGACGACCGTATCTCGCCCCGCCTCCTCCTCATTTCCTCGCGCATCGTCCTCTGTAGACACATTTTATACTGTTTCTTATACTTCTTGGCCCGCTTCATATTCGAATAGTGTTTCATTTTCATCTTCGTCGCCTTATTCCCTCTCTTCGTCCGCGTCGCTAAACTCTCATTCCTATAGGACTTCTTACAGCGACTCGACTTCGGCGACATGGTCGTCGACGTATCCACCCACGTCTTCGCAGTCGTGGAGCTCGAGCTCGTCAAGCAGCTGGAGTTGGCGGTATACCAGGCATGTCGCACCTCCATCTCTTAATGATTGTCTCCCTCACGCAGAGCTTGTCTCGACAGCGTCGGAGGAACGCCCACGCCGACGATCCGGTCGTCCTACCCGTCTTCGACGCACTCGGAATCCTCGTCGTCTTCGCAGGATGCGGCGACGACGTCGCACACGACGACCCGCGGGCGTTTCACGACGTCGACGATCAGCGTCACCACGGTGTACACGTCGACGCTGTCTGGCGGAGGGACGACCATCGTCAGTACGGTCATCCCAACCGGGACGCTGGTACCCCAGACCGGCGGATGGAACGGGTGCGTGCCACGTTTGGCGTTGCCGGTGTGGTGCTAACATTTGCGCAGCATTCGCCGCAACTCCGGCGCCATCGCCGGGATCGTCATCGGCTCGGTCGTCGCGCTCGCGCTCCTTTCTGCGTGGATGTTCATCCTGTTCCGGAGACACAAGATCCGGAAGCTGGAAAGCGCGGCCGTACGGAGCGACCGCGAGGCCGCAGCCCTCCGAGGGCCGTTGGCTGACGAAGACGACGATCTCCCGCCAGGCGGCGCAACACCTAGTATGGAGGAGCTCCCCGGCCCTGTGGTCGCGGCAGCAAGTGAAGGCCACGGAGCGCGTATTCGAGGCGGCGACGACGACTTTGCGGTGGTGTCCGACGAGGACACCAGCGCGTACGGGCATTCGTCGGAGGCCGCAGCCGCTGCTCAGAGGTCTTCCGCGGCGCTGCTCGCGTCCGTGGCTCTCCCCCGCTCCCCGCCGACCGCTACCGGTCTCGTCCCTCCAGCCGGTGCTCTTCCCCAGGTACCTGGGTCACCGACGTCCGCCTACGGTACGGGAACCTCGAAGCGGAGGTCCAGCGCCAGCGGGCTTGATCCAGGAGCGTGGTTAGGTGGAATGACGTACGTCGGCGCCAAGTCGCGACCCGGCTCCTCGGGCGTCGTATCCCCTCCAGTGACGTCTATGCCAGCCGGTATGAGTGCCACGTTCGGCATGTCAGGGCCGTCGTCGGCTGGCCATGGTACTGGCGACGAGCAGGAGATGTTGATGAGTCCCGGATGGGGAGGGGCGTACGCGAGCGGCGGAGAGAGTGTCGACGAGTTCGGCGTCGGCCCGTCTTCGACAGGTCACGGCGCCCCTTCGTCTCAGGGTCATGAAGCGGGGCACGGATCTTCTTCGCAAGGTGGTGGGACGTCAAGCAGCGGTCACGATCGCGGATATGCGCCCTCGTCGCAGTCGCATTCAGGGCCGTCTCAGGAGGGCGGTCGCAAGTCCCCTGGGGTGCGCGCGAGCTTGGGCAGTGCACCGCCCAGCAGTTATCCCTACAAGTCCGACGACCGCAAGGACCCTCCGGATGCCCCGCCGCGGACGACAAGCCCGATATCCTTCCTGTCTCGCAGTCTCCGGTGGCGGCGAAGAGGCTCCCAGTCGACGCATACCCTCCTAGACAACGCGGGCGACGACGAATCCGCTGCCGGCCCTGCATTCGGTTCTCGCGGTCGGTCTCGCTCTGCTCTCGTCACCCCGACTTTCTTCGAGCCTCCGCCCGAACTGGTCGCACCCTCTCCGAAGCAACAGCGTCCTCCAGCTACTCCTCTCTACTCTCGGGTTCCTGCGCGGATCGAACGCCCAGCGCACCCCGGACAGCTCCCGAACCTTGTCTCGCCTTCGTTATCTGCTCTCGTCCGGGAAGAACGCGCTGCTCAGGGTGAGTGGCCGCGACCGAACCCTTCACTGACGCTGCCGCCTCTTCCTTCGCCTGCAATCACCGATGGCGCATCCGTTCGCGAAGGCCTCCTTAGAGTCGGTGGTCAAGGCATGTATAGTTCAGGAACCCTGAGTCTTCGAGACGAGGTCGACTACTCGAGACCGATAGGCGGGGTACGATTTTGTTTCTTTATTTCTGTTTCTGTTGGTGCTTAGCTGATTTGTACCTGCAGGTGGTGTATAACCGGATGTACAGCACGACTACGTTCAATTCCACGGATACGCGGGAGACTACGGATACCGAGACGGACCACCATGGGCCTGCGGACGGACATGATTCGCAGGACCTGTTACCTACACATTCACATCGAGAACCTTCATCGTAAGAGTAGCCTAGTCCTCTGTTGCTTGCGCTGTCGATTCGCTGTCTGCTCTGATGCTCACCTTCGCTTCGGACTAATGACTTTCAAAACCTTTGCTCCTTTCGCTATAGTATAGTACACGTTTAAAAGGAGGTGAGAGATTACCGCCTTAATGCCAGCATACACGACTCGGGCATGACTTCTCATAATATCGACAACTGTATAAACCGAGAAAGGCACCACCCGCTTTTCGCTGAAGATGTACAATAATAGTTGTACACTATTAGTGCTTCTGCATCCTGGAACGCGTGCATAGCTAGCACCATCATATGTTGCATACCGATCGTCATGTGGTAATGCAGAATCGATAGCGTCACGCATTCGCTGCCGCCTCGTATCGCGTCCGAGTGAAAGGGATACCCGTACTCACAAGGACATATTCCAAACCACTTTAATCACCCGAGAAGCGCCGACGGCTGTCGGCAGTGCCCCTCCTTTGAGAGGGGTTATGCCAAACCCGCAATACGTCGCACTTTTCGACCAACCGGCAAGTACCAGCGTGCCATGTTTGGTTCCAGTGGCACACGGCTACATAGCGCGGACTTAGAATTAGACTCCGCTCCATGCATAGACTATACTTTGCATCCCACTTACATATCGAAGTAGACAATCAGTACTAAATTCCATCTCAATTCACCGCAGCAGCTACATGCTGTGAACTGCACTCCACAGCAGCTACAGGCTGTGAACTTTGCAGACCAAACCAAGGAGGAGCTAAATATCTCTTGTATATGTCAAAGATTCGAAATAATTACTTTGAATTATATCCATCGGGACATGCCTGCGCAGTCCGGGAGACATCCCGTCTCCCGGACTGCGCAGGATGGCAATAAGTGTTCAGCTGGCCAGCCAAACCACCTCTCTCTAGCTGCATTTGTGCAAGCACCTATGTGATAATTAATTCATCCCATCCCGCAAAGGAGGGGTAAGATGCCGGCGCCAGATGGAGCTTCCCGAGTTTACCCCTCCTTTGTGCATAAGTTGAGCTTGAGTACTATTCCATACCCATTATTGTATCATATGGTGCGGGACACCTGGTCACCGCCACTTGTGAACAACATTTATGGCACCCCTAGATTTCGACCTTGCCCCTCCTTTGGGAGGGGTTCTGGCACCCTTGAATTGCGTCACACTTTTCGTCGCACCGGCAAACTCCGGCGTGCTATGTTTGGCTCTAGTGGCGCCCTTACTGAACATGGACTTAGCCATGGTTGGGCATGCATCTCAATGTTCACACTCAAGTCCCTCTCAACTATGTAATTAGTGTTGGTTTGTGGATGCCACAAGGTACAGGTGGAGGCCTATTATGAGGTAAAACTTAGAGAGCATAGTATTAAACATAGATCCTTGTACCTCAAAATTTTTGAGTGTTGGCTTGAGAAGGATTTGAGTGTATGTGCACTCCATCTAACATGTGTATTCAATCATTCCAGTTTTCTGTGCCATACATAAGTCTGTGATGGACAATTCACAAATTAGTAGAATCAAGAAATTCCATGTTATTCCATGGCTTATGATCATGAGGCCCAACATACTGTAAGATAAAACTATGATGTGAGATGGATGTCAGATGTCCAGGCAAGAGAGACACACCATTAGGCATTCTTGGTGAGGGGATAAGTATCTCTTAGACTACGACAGCACGGGACATTCTACCGGGCCCTAGATGGAGCTTGACTGAAAGAGAACCGGGTCCCCTATATATATTACTAACAATATCCCTTGCATTATCTTACATGGTAGAAATACTGTCCTTATGATGATTTGCCAACCTTGTGTAGCAGCCACAACATCTTGAACTTAGTGCACACTGCGGGCAAGCACTGATGTCCCGCCTCCTGACATTGGTCTTTCATGGGATGGGTGGGAGAACACCTTCCTTGGATGTTTCTCAGCGGAACATGAGACAGGACATAAAGAATGACAAGACAATGCTAATTGAATGTCCTGTATATTTTAGTGACCATAGTAAATGTACTGCAGAACTTCTTTTGTTCCTTCAAAGGACATTCTGCATGTCCGGGCTATGGTCCAGCAAGGACCATTCGAGGAAGATGTTCTCCCACCCCGGAGGTGCCTTTTACATGTCCACCGGCAGAACATCAGCCTTTGCCCTCAGTGGCAAGTTCTCAAGGTCAATTTCTTGAACAAAGGAGCGGTAAGTTGCTGGCGCCAGACAGCGCTTCACAAGTTTCCTTAGCCATCTTGGGAAAACACTCTATTTATGATAAGGATCAATGGCCCAAGAGGGATTTTCGATGCCTTCAAAATTGAAGCAGTTATAATTTTGGACTTGCCAGCTGACATAATATCAATTATGTAATCACTATATTGGGTAATATAGATGCCTAATTGAGTATCTATGAATCAAAGTGATGTGCCAAAGCTTCCAGAACATGCCTGTGTGATGTGTATTGCTTGGAACTGAATTGCCGCACCTTAGCTTGGCATCTTTAGCCCCCAGCCCTTCATGATAAGCATCCATCCAACGGATCATGCGATGTTCCCAGCGCCATATTGTCTCCAATTTGACCTGTGCCATGGCCTTAGTTTACACCTCCATTCCAGCGACAAACTTCGGAATCACTTTCCAAGTCAGAATCTAAGTTGATTACTGAGACATCAGGGTGTGGCCGCCGTTGCTCTGCAAGAGCTGCATGAGCCCGAGCAGCTGTGTCCTTCTGCGCTTTCCTGCGAGGCGGCATAGTCAGGCCAGTGTGAAGCTCCAGCTCAAAATTGTCAGGTAAATTAACATATATTACTGGGAGCCAAGTTCAGCCCTGCCGTTGCCCCTTGTTTCACTATGCTACAATGCTAGACAATATATGGCAAACAAATACTGTAAATATGAATATAATATTTGTACCCAGATGGATTTTGCCGCTCTCCAAAAGTGGCAGTGACTAGGTGTCCTGCACCATAGCATATTGAAATCAACGTTAACACCTTGAGTCATAGTCAGTTTGCATGCTGTTAATCGGGCTGGGTGAGTTTCCAGGTCCGGGAGGTCCAGTGGAATCCTACAACGGGCAGTTCAAGAGACGTTCCATGTGTACATTTATCTGGATTGCATGGGTTTCCAAGGTTTATTCAATCATTGCATGCAAATGAAATTTGCAGCTATAAGTGGTCACAAAACAACATAAAACATGGAGGTGAGTTTGAATTCCATACATTCCATCCCGAGTGGACTGCACACATCTTATTGAAGCAACTGTGTACTGAGCGCATGACTCTGTCAGGTCTGACTGATGCAAGAGCTGATTTGAGAACAAGTCCTCATTCAGTAGTGGCGCCACTAAAGTCAAACATGGCACGCCGGGATGTGCCGGTCAGTCGAAAAGTGGTTGGGGGTGCCAGAACCCCTCCCAAAGGAGGGGCATCATACTTCGCATTATATAAGTCGCTTTGCCACAGACTCACCTGGCGATCGATAGATTATCGAGCATCTCTATACCAGTGCCACCACCTGGGTACTTGCGGTTCGCTAGCACCTCGGCTCCTTGATGGGCGGCATTCACTGGGCTTATAGGATTTTGATCACGAGGAGCGAGGATTTGATGTCAATCTCAAAAGATACTGATATTACCCTACCTCGGATGCTCTCTCTGCGCGCAGATACGGTGCCTTCGAGCACATCCAATCCCAGACCGCAGCTAGGGCCAAATATTCCTCTTCCCCCTCAGTTCGACAAGCTCCCTGACCTGGAGAAGGTCAAGAAGGAGGCTGAACAAAGTACGAGTAGCAGGTACACCATCGGGCTCACCTCCACCTGCTTATAATACAAAAACAGTACCAGGCTTCCTATGCAGGACTGATGAATTTCAGGATAGCGTAAGACACATAATCGTCCCTAACAAACATGTTGCACAGGAGGACCCGCTCGTAGGCCTTATGTGGAATGCCACATTCTCCAACTTATCGGAGTTTAGCTTCTATTGCCGCATTGGAGACAGTAAGCCTCACCAAGTCACAGCCTTGGAGGATTGAACAAGAAGCTTTGCAGTTGGAACAGACCTGCTCCCAGCCGTGATATGGACTCTCCAGTGTATGCTGAGAAACTTGGAGGTGTGCAGTGACGAACAGTTACAGGCCCAGTGCCGTCCTAAGGCAGGCACACAGAGTCTAGACCATTCTTGGTGCGTTACCGGTGCTTTCGTTCGCTGGATTCTGCTAGACGAGGTCAACACCAGTTGATGATCATAAACTTCGCTACCACTACCTGTAAGTTTGAGCAGTCCAGCTCATACAGTATCACCCTATCTGACTCCTATGTCGACAGCCATCCAGCAGTCGATCAGCCTGGAATGGCGCTCCCGCTCATCAGACAGGCGATCGACACTGATACGAAAGTGAGCAGATGGACAGAGCCGGAGGCGAAACACTGGTACCGGAATCCGTGAGTCCCTCACTCGTTACACTTCATTTCAGTCTGTACCAAAGAGCTTGAGCACAGACTATTGTACGATCAGTTTGCAGAAGCCCTGGCTTTATCGGGAGAATTTACCAAGGAGACACGGACCGCGCTGGAGCGCGTCCTAGACGCCTCGCAGAACTGTCTGGCTGCGAAACAGCAGCCATGAGAGTTCTACATGATGACAGTACAGCCACACATCCATCTGGCGCGTGTGCTGCATGCAATGGACATTGAACCGGAGGCACAGAAGGAGTCCGTGCCTCTTCTCACTGTCAGTGTGAGCTGCTCACTGGTTTTTACAATGGCAGACACACACGCTAGGCGGTCGAATACCTCCGGAAGCAACCAAAGCATATTCCTGACGGTGTTCTACGCCAGTTACTTGTCCGTCCCGGGCAAGACGTCCATCCCGTCCTTGCCGCTCTTGGTGGGAGCAAGTGGCTGGAGAACAGACAGTCTTTTCAACATAACAAACGGGATATGAGGCAGTGTAGGGGGTGTAACACACGAGACATCATCACGCCTGTCTTTCGCTGTGCCCAGTGCCAGTTAGCATTCTATTGGTAAGTGCATTGGCCCTGCCCATCGTGATTCCACCGGACTCGTTGTCGTAACAGTTCTAAGAAATGTCAGAAAGCGGACTGGCCGCTCCACAAGTGAGTATATGGCACTGGTATTTATTCCAGAATTATCTACTCATTGAACCTGTAGAGCCCTGTGCAGGTGTGTTCTCTTTCAAAGAGTACCTGGACTTCACTGCTAACTGCGTACTGTACCCAGTCCAGAGAAATTATGTCATCAAAAGGAAAGGTAGAGATCTTAAAGTACATCGATCCAGCAGCATCCCAGTGCAACGCCGACCATATCCAATGGCGGAGCGTGCGGAATCAGGCCCGAAACACGGCATTCCACTGTGCACTGGGAATCCATCGGGACCCATCGCGTGGGCACACGCACATGATCATCATCCATCTGCAGTGGACACCCATCAACAAGGACCCGTGGTTCAAGTTCCTTGTTACCGAGTGCGGGGTGTTCAAGATGGCCGACGTGCTCCCGGAGATTGAGGGCGCACTGCACCTAGGAAAGGGTGAAGGGTGCGGGTACGTGTGCGACTTTGTTGGGCGGCAAGAGGCACAGTGGTCCTCGTCCTCGGGCATGACGATGGCACCAATTCTCATCCTGGCGATCGGCGAGGGGGTGGAGTCAGTATTGATGCTTTGTGAGTTGCTCTGTACAACTGTTGCACTCAATAGCGCCTGTTTGATGCGGGAATTCTTTAGCTGGGATCATTCTGGAGACACAGAGGCCTGATACATACAGCGCAGAATGGCGTAAGATGGTTAACAAGGACCCGACGGACGCACCGAAGCCGTTGACACTCTTGAGTGGTGCCAAGAACGCCGAGCATATATTCTGACCACCTACTTATTCTCTCGTATGTTCAGTCAGCCCTGATCCCTGGGGTATGTTCTTGCTCATTGCATGTCAACAAGTTGCGGTTCTCATGTTTTGATTTGGAATTGTTCGACTTTGCGCTGCCAGTACTAGTGGATCATGTCAAGTCTTGTCTGAAGAGCTAACAGGGATGCTCTCCAATCTCGATATCTATGACACCGTCGATCAGATCGCAGGCTGACCTGTACTGCTAGTTGTACTCCGATTTGTAGATCTCTCACATCTTGTAGGCTTGATACTGCGCCTCCTAAATAAGACTTACTCCCCCGCTTACGGTACGCTTCGCAAGCAGCGTGACACTGAGCGTGAGCTGTCCGGGCAGCTCCGGCGACTTTCCCGGCTGTGCTCCGTGTCCTCAAGCGTGCACCGAGGCGTACGCTGCCAATTTTGGCAGAGAAGCGTAGCATAAGCGGGGCAGCCGAACGGGCCCTTAGTAGACGAGCAACATCTTGGATTTGCGGACGCGTCTAAGTAACTCATGAAGTGCCGTCTGGCGCCGGCAACTAACCCCTCCTTTGTTTAAGAAATTGACCTTGAGAACTTGCACTAAGTTCAAGATGTTGTGGCTGCTACACGAGGTTGACAAATTCATAAGGACAGTATTTCTACCATGTAAGATAATGCTAGGGATATTGTTAGTGATATATATAGGGGACCCAAGTTTTCCCCAGTTCTCTTTCAGTTCAGCTCCATCTAGGGCCAAGTAGGATGTCCTGTGCTATTGTAGTCTAAGAGATACTTATCCCCTCTCCAAAAATGTCTAATGGTGTGTATCTGACGCCTGGACATCTGGCATCCATCTCACATCATAGTTTTATCTTACAGTCTGTTGGGCCTCATGATCATAAGCCATGGAATAACATGGAATTTCTTGATTCTACTAATTTGTGAATTGTCCATCACAGACTTATGTATGGCACAGAAAACTGGAATGATTGAATACACATGTTAGATGGAGTGCACATACACTCAAATCCTTCTCAAGCCAAAACTCGAAAATTTTGAGGTACAAGGATCTATGTTTAATACTATGCTCTCTAAGTTTTACCTCATAATAGGCCTCCACCTGTACCTTGTGGCATCCACAAACCAACACTAATTACATAGTTGAGAGGGACTTGAGTGTGAACATTGAGATGCATGCCCAACCATGGCTAAGTCCATGTTCAGTAAGGGCGCCACTAGAGCCAAACATAGCACGCCGGAGTTTGCCGGTGCGACGAAAAGTGCGACGCAATTCAAGGGTGCCAGAACCCCTCCCAAAGGAGGGGCACGAGGCACGTATCACGTGAACGTGACTCGCGGGTTCATGATTCGGAATCATTGAATTCCATTGAATGATTCATTGCCGCTCACTCATCCGCACCCAACGCTTGGTAGGATGTCTGACGCGGATCCCCGCCGGTTTGTGTATTCTGTGTACGTGTCTGAAACCAGTGCAAAGTAATTAACGAAGGTAACTCTGCCACAGTATTAGGAAATAGACCAGACCCAGCGTCTCATGGGCCGCTTGGCTGAGATTGCCTAGCTGGCTGGGTCTCAAAACATACCAGCTCCTGGAACGTTATAGTGGTCGCAACGGTCTCATATCTGAATTGGAATGGTATCCCTTAGACCTATTGAGTCGAACCCGTGTCCCTTCTTCGCATGTATATTTATAACCGGTGCATCGATGTCTGATTCTTACCTCCTTCAGCAGTCGGAACTAGGTCCTCCAGGGTCCGGAACGTCTTCATCAAGTGCATCACCACGCCATTCATTCCAAACGCGTGAATTCGGTGAGTAGCGCAGATGCTCAATGAACCTCCCACCATACTAACCCTGCTCTTGATCTACGATTCCGCCACAAAATCGCTCAGTCCTCCGGACGCACTAGAGTTTGACAGTAGATGCTTCTTGGGACGAGGACAGCATCTGCTTCAACTAGCTCTTCGCCACATTTATGGACGCCTCCAACCCTCATTTCAACACGCCGACGATGCTAAGCTTGCGGAGCGGCGTCGTCCGTGTTCCGACGTACAATCCCAAGATGGATCTCTTGGGTATGCCCGTGCTAGACTCCTGCAAAGTTCCTAGCTTGGACCTGGTAGGCCAGGATGCAGCCAAATGTAAGAGCCTGTATCACACACAGCTGTCGGTCTACGATCTAATATGCTTTTTTGCAGTGCCTACTCTCGTTCTCCATGGGATCCCGCGGGTGCTAGAACTGGAAGTCTCGAACTCTACTCAAGAAGACAACATCCTCGTGAATCCTTCTGAATGCCTCGTGTGGAACGCTATGATGCCGCAGCTATGTGTATTTAGTCTCTATTGCCGCGCTGAGGATGGTATTATTTCCATTAGTATAGCTCCGCCCATGATAGACTAACTACGGTTGATTGTGGTAGTCGGAACCGACTTGCTCCCTGCCGTCATATTCGCTCTTTAATGGACCATCCGTGTTCTGGAGGAGTGCAGTGATCACGAGCTCCGCATGACCCTCTGGCTCGCACCGCACCAGACTGGCGAGGTGGCAAACTACGTCAGACGTACCAATGTCAGTACGCGTTAATTTTTAATCTTTCATCTTTCGTGAGTCATGGTCGCTGAGATGATTCACTCATTAGTTATGGATTGCCCGTAACAAGGTTTCTCGGCACTTAATGTCAGTACAATGCTTGTTTAGCCTATTAGTAGATGGGTGCGATGTTGTGCTCACTTGCTCTGCTGCTGCAGGGATCCAGCGGTGAATCAGCCTGCTATGGCTGTCCCCTATCTGAGTGCGAGTATCGAGATGAGCATAGCAATCGAGGGAGCACGAGGGTGGGAACATTACAGACATCCGTAAGTTCATGATTCCTTCATCATAACGTCTTCCTACTACTCTTGGCAGAATGCTATACTGCCTATATGGCGAAGCACTCAGTCTGTCTGGAGAGCTTACCCATCAGACCAAGATCATCTTGGAACGTGCCCTTGACGCCGCCGAGAATTCGCCTACTGAGCAGTCTATCCCACATGATTTCGGGGCAGCGATAATCAAAATCCGAACTCATCTCGCGCGCGTATTACATGCTCTAGATATCGAGCCAGATGCACAGAAACGGTTCGTTACGCCGTTTCGATGGAATTTGTGGGCGTTCTCGCCGCTGATCCACTCTAGGCACACGGAGCAAGTCGTTAAATTTTTAAAGAAGAACCCGACACTTTTTTACGAAGGCGATCTACTCCAACTCTTGGTGCTTCCTGAAGAAGTCGAGCACCCAGTGCTTACCGCTCTTGGTGGTCCGAGATGGATTGAGAGCCGGCGAGCGTCTGTGAGAGCTGATGAGCGCCAGATAAAGCTCTGCCGTGGTTGTGGCGCGAGAGATATCAATAATTCTCTCTTCCGCTGTTCTCGGTGTCAGCATGCGTATTATTGGCAAGTAATACCACTCGCATTCGCCAGAACCCCTATTGAGCTTTCTCTCGGGCAGCTGCAGGAAGTGCCAGAAATCGAATTGGAATCAGCACAAGTAAGCGAGATTCGTCGCCTCGTTCTGACCAGGGCTGACCTCCGAGTCCACTGAAAGAAAGGATTGCAAGTGAGGTACATACAGTCTCTATCGGCACATTTCTGACTCCTCTTCAGCGAAATCGTACTCTCGAGGGAGAAAGCACGGGTACTAAGTCAAACGAACCCCACAGCAGGTCAGAGATATCTTGCATGGTCGAGATGGGCTACCCTTCCAAACTCGAGTCGAGACCGTGCCTTCTGCTCTGCACTTGGACTTCATCGAGACCCGTCTCGAGGCCAGACGCATATGATCATCTGTAAGGTCGAGTGGGTACCGGAAAACAAAGACCCGCGTTTCCAGTTCCGCATAACACGCTGCGGAGTGGTCCGGATCAGTGAGATGGCGGCACGCGCAGAGACTGTTTTGAACTCGGAAAGGGACGAAACTCAGGCATATATCAAGACGGCAGTGGATGCCCTGGAAGTGGGCAATCCCTGGGAGTATGTCCAGATGGTACCCATTTTACATATGCTTCATGATGAAGCCGGCAACAACAGTTCTCTACGGACCAGTATGTCTTTGGTATTCAACTCCCCCCACAGCTCACTCATGTACGCAGGCGGAGTTACGCTAAAAGGGTTGCGATACATACCTTACAATGCGGAGTGGCGGAAGACCATCAACCAAAGTGGGGACGACGCTCCCGGTGCCCTTGGTGCTCACGACCACGAGCATGACTTCTGAATGATGTATTCCGGGCATGCAGCGGGCACTTCTTCACTTCTTGGCGTGTAGCTCTTGCTGTACACCCGTCTCTACGTGCACGGATATGTAGCGAGGAAGTCCTTTATCGATGTCTGACTCGATGGCCCCATTTTCCGACTAGGATCCTGTCCAAGACTGCGAGACCCGGGCGATATGGGGAATGGCGCAGATTACGAGCCTGAATGGAAGTTCGAATATGTCCGTATCGTATTCGACATCTAATCTCCGTCGCGTTCCTGCAGGGGGGCGAGTGTATTAGCGAGTGCGGCAGCCGCCCGAGAGACATCGGGCGGCCACAAACCATTTTCCGCCGATAAACCGACACTCATGAGTTGTACATACCTATAAGGTCTCGCGGCGTCAGCTCGCGGCGAGGTCGGGAGAGAGAGGGGTCTCAACTCTCAATGCCGCCCGCACAGATGGCCTGCACAATGTCTCAGAAACCGAGTCGCAGCTCATAGGGCTGGCCAGCGGAAGCGCAGTGCCACAGAGCCTCGCCCCGAGCGTCGACTCGGAGATTAGACTCGCCGAAACGGAGTTTTGACGACGATTATAATCTGAAAAAGGAGACGCGCTCGCGTCGTCTGTCATGTGCCAGATAAAGGTCCCCAGACTCGGAATGAGATCGACTGTCGACGGTACTTCGGGCCAACTTGAAGTTTTGCTGCGGTGGGAGGGGGCGTATCAAGAATCGCCCCGGAGCCCTGTATGATAAGCGCATACTGGTACAGTACATTTACTTATGTATCGCTCGTGTATCCCTCCGCATGAGACTCAAGAGTTTGCGGTGGTCCCAGGGTAGCAAGGGAGATTCGGACCCTCTACCACTCAGGCCGACATATCTATAGCCCAGTCGGCGCAGCATTCTTGCAGCGACTGTCCTCAAAGCGCGCGAGGAGGCGTCGGACCAAACGACCCGGGAGACGCGGGCGAGGAAACGTCCCGCGGGTGTTGCAGAACCCAGGCTTGACCGACGTGCCAGGGTTGCCCTCGCTGGGGGCACAGAGTGCGTAGTGCAGGACGATATACGCACTGAGAAGCGGGAAGGACTGGTCTTGGTACCCCCACTCGGGGTCAGCGTGCGTCCCCGAAACTTGCCGGTACGTGAGCCGGCACGTAGCGGGAGTCGGCATGGACGTTCGAAGTTACGAACCTCGCTCACGGGTTCTACTCGGTTCTCGGACTGATCCACGGAGCTGGATCCTGCAGCAAACGCGCCATCCTTCGAGCTAGCTTAGAGCCAGCGACTTATGGCCATTCGAGCTCCGCAGACCTTCTGTATTCCGGGTTAGCCTACCGCGGAGGGCCCTCGAAGTTCCAAGTACCAGCCTGAGCGGTACCGGTCAGATTTCACATTCTACCGCCAGCCGCGTTCTGATCCTGCAGGCCAGAACGCGCACTGATATCTTGCTCAGGCGATATCCAAAGGGCATTGTTCCGGAGAGGTGACCATCCATCAGCGCTCGGCGCTGGATGGACGGCGGACAACACCGGACGCGGGTACACCGGCGAGCGGGGGGGTTATCTGAACGATGAGCGCTCACCTATGTACAAGTGAAGTCCGAGTCGAGAGAGTTGGATGAGTTGCTTAAATGACGTCTTCCCGCTGACCCAGTGGGAATGAGACGTACGCGAACTAATCGGCAGGCAATGGGGAGGAGGAGCTTACAACCAGCGCATGGACGCATGACAACGCACACGCAAAGACTGTCAGCGATCAGTGGGGGTCAGAGCTCAACTGTTCACCCATGTTCTGATTGCGCCGTCAGAACGCATCCCAGCGCTGGGGGTCCCCGGATCGGCGAATAACGGGTATACCGGAGAAGACGGAACGCGCTGAGTGCCAGGACGACCGGTGGTAAGTTTAGCTCGTGGTCGTTCTTTACGTATTTGTGGGCGTCGCAGATCTTCCTTGCGTGAGACGACGTCCAGAGTCAGACGGAGCTTATAGGGGTGGCTCGAAAGAGAATGATAGGGGATGGCCGCCGCGCTGACGGCTGGAGAGCGGGGTCGACGTATGTGGCACTCTTGGGAGTAGAGCGGATATGACTCATGAGGGACAGATGTGGCATACGGTAAATAAAGCCAAGGCACTCGGTCGCCCATGCGATGAACGGACTATTTCATAGCAAGGACGGCCGCTTGGCCTTATTTATCGCGGCACGCCTCCCAAGGTATCGACGTCGTCTGGACCATCGTCTGAGCACAAAATTTGCAGGGCGACACCAACGAGAAAGGCAAGTGTCGGGCCCGGCACGCGCCGAGTCCGGAGAACGGTACCTGCTGACACCGCCACGAGCCTCATTCCTTGGCCGCTGGCTGCGCTCAGATCCGATGCCGATGCCTCCCCAAATCTCGGATGTGCTTCGTAAAGGAAAGCGCAGATCTGCGAGTCATGCTGGCAATGACTCGCAGCTAACGGGCGGGCAGTCTTGCGCGTCGATACGCCCAAGCCCCCCCGCCCAGGAAATGGAACGCCCGGTGGTAACTATCTAGCGGTGCTATGAAAGCAGGTGTTGGTGAGAAATGGGTGCTAGCAATCACAATAATAACGAGCATCAAGCGCCCATTTACCGTCCCAGGCCCCCGTCCGTTTATAGCAAGTGAGGCTTCCTTTCCCCCTTCGATCCCCACAACTTAAATTTAAACCTAGGCCCTCGTCCGCAACGGGGAAACGCGAGAATGAAAAGAAGTTTGCGCGGTTCTATATACGCGTTCTGACCACCGATCGTCGTTCTCCGAGCTTGTTTCTCTCTCCCCGGCTCGCATCGTCCCCCCACTCGTTCTTTCCCCCAACGCGCCATGTCGCTCTCGTCGCTCGCTGATGCGTTCGCCCCGTTCGTTAGGGAGATCCAGTCGACCCGGTACGCGGAACGTAAGTCATAATATATGTCAAAATACTCGCTAGCATCCCGCTCACGTCACCCCAGTCGCGTCAAGTACTATCGTAATATACGACCATTGTGAGTGAGACTATCCCTTACGCAGAACGCGACTCGGACTCAAGTATGTCCCCGCAGTGATCACATTGGACCAGGAGGTGAGCTACATCTAGCTTGTCTCTCGGCGAGACTGACGGTGCATCTCAGATAGACCTAATATGGGTGCGCTCGCCTTGCGTACCATCCACTCTCACAAGCTGAACTCCATTTCCCCGTCTTCAGAAGGCTTCATGGACACCCGGAAAAGTATTGTTCTTAACGGTACGCATACACACTGTTATCCCCTTGTCGCAAGGCGTACCCAACGCCCGCGCGTGCAGAACCGCTATTACGTTCTTGCAAGTGTAATGTGAGTGCTGCATCTATTCACTCGCCAGGCCCGGTTCCTGACGCGTGCGGGTCCATGATGCAGATTCAACAACTACGGTATGCGTCGTCCCTGACTTGGACCGAAGGTTCCGCTGATATGCGGCTCCGGAACAGTTCTTTTCACCACACATCTCTCCGACTCGGTATGACATCATTCAATCTCGTGTCAAGCGTGTTCTAATCCGTGATATGCAGTTGTACGTGCCTTCGTATCAAAGATGTTTCTCAGGTTCATTCTCACACCTTTCGCCCTTCCCTCGCCGCAAATAGCTGTATGTATTCGCTCTCTTGCTGTAGACGCGCGTCTAACGTGGTGTGCAGGTGTTAAATGGTTTCGATGGCAAGGGACGACGGGCTTGCTAGTGTCCATGATCGCCGAAAGTACGCTTCTGGCCTCCCTCGCATACCCCCCCTAACTTCTCCCGCGCCAGTCATCCTCCAACTGCGATTATACGCGCTGTACCACCTCAACCGACGCGTGCTCGTGCTCATGTGCGGGGCGTTCCTGGTCTCAGCAGGCACAGCGGCCGTGATCATGGGCATGGTGCTCGCGCGCATATCAGGTGCGTCTCCTCCGCGCGTCCTCTCTGCGCCCTTCCAACGCCGGCCCAGCGCACTCGGGCCTGATCCCGGGCCTGCCGTTCTGCATCCCGGTGAACGTGCCCTCGTGGTTCTACACGTTCTGGATCCCGACGCTCGGCTTCGAGAGCCTGCTCTGCGCGCTCGCGTTGTTCCGCGCGTTCAGGGACTTTCGCAGCCGCACGAGCCTCTTCCAGAGCGGGCGGCACATCGTGAAGATATTGATCCGGGACTCGGTGATTTATTACCTCATGTGCGCGCGTTCTCTTCTGCTCGGACTCGGGCCTGACGGTGTTTAGTATGTTCGCGACGTACTTTACCAACCTCGTCATATTCCTCACTGGCAACGTGCGTCCCGCCTTCCGCCCTTCTCTGCTCACCACTAACACCCCCCAGGTCGGCGTGCTCGAGTCCGGGATCGGGTTCGCGGTGACGATGTCGTGCGTGATGGGCAGCCGGCTGTGCCTGAACATCCGCGACGTGCACCACGAGCTGGAGGCGTCGACCGCGTCGCAGCAGCAGCACCTCACGCAGCCGTCGTTCGTGTCCGGCGGGCGGAGTGCGTACGGGACGGCGAGCCGCGGGACGAATATCGTGGTTTCGAGCACGTATGCGCTGACGGAGTTTGAGCTCGTGGAGTTGCGGAATTTGCGGGCGCAGGGGAAGGTGTAGGGTGGGTGGGTGTCGTTGTCCCTCGCTGCTGTATAACATCGTTCTGTTTCTCGTGTATACGTACTCCGGTTAGGAAAAATATATTTAGAGCACGCGCGCGTCAACACCATTCCCTTATGCGGCGCCGGAAAACATAGGGAGCCAATGAGGAGGGAGATGGCAGGGTTAGGGTGTTGAAAGTGTTGCAAGTCCGACGCCGTTTTTCGTGGTTCGCTCGAGCATAGTCTCCCCCTATATGGGGTCTCGTGGATTCTGGAAAAAGGGGCTTGCCCTTGTGTATTTGTGCACCGTACAAGCGTGACTACTCTACTTTACGGATGGGCGCGGAACAGGCGTGACCTTACCTCCAGGTCGTCGCGAGTGGGAGGTTGGCGTCCATGCAAGTGTCGTGACTTCCACTTGATACGCGGGTGCAATATTATTCATGCTGACCTTCACAAGTTGGTTAGACATGCGGATGGAACACACGGAAAAGCACTCACCAAGAATTTAGAGTGTCTCACTGGCTTATCTTGACCCATAGTCACTCCACCGTCAGTTGCGTCTTGATGGAACTGCCCGTGAGTGACCTCGGAAGGTCCCAAGGCAGTCTTCGTGAGCGCGCATGGTCCATGAGCCTGGGAGAGCTGCCGACGGTCACCACACCGCTTGAGTAAAATAGAAAGCCGGGTTAGACATGAGTGAGAGCAAGATGACGGAATAGCACTCACACCATGGTACCATCACTCGTCTCTCAAGCTCAACCCAGCCCGTGACATCGACTCAGGCTACCTTCCCTCTTGAATTGACAGAGTCCACGGGAGGACGCGGGAGACGGCCATAAACGGGGGCCTGATCACCGAGACAGGACGGTGACGAGAGCGTCGAGATCCAGCATCACGTCATTGAAGAGGGTGATCACCAGAAGACCAACATGGCATCGGCAGTGAGCGCGAGAACCCAAGGCATGGGCCATGGTCGATATTGAGATGAGTGAGATCCCGGCGATGGCTATGGCATTCGTGACGTGGACCACTGTACGGGACACGTAGAGGTCGATAGAGACTTTGCAATGGCGCAGAGACGGGGACATGCGAGCGGAAGACACTGTGCTCCAACACCGGTTGCGGGACGAAATTCTATACCCACAAAGTCGAACAGGGTGGCGACGTCGGATGCAGCGGGTGTGAAGACCGCGTTGACGACTGAGACGTTGGTAATGTGGGCGAGTAACATAGAGGTCGTCAATAGACACTCTGCGAGGGGGGAGCCATGGGGACGGGCAGGGGCAGGTAGAGGATAGCGCGCTGGGAGGCCGGTCATGGGATGAAAGTCTATACCTACAACGTCGAACAGAGTATCGAGGGCGGATGCGGTGGGTGTGGAGAAGCAGTAGCGCGTCGAGTGGCAGTATGGCAGTGGCGGGAGGACCTCGTCGTGACGGCGACATGCGAAGCCATTGGCAGCACCGATGATCAGGCCCATCGTCACCTTGATGTGTGCCATGCATCGGGCTTGCACGCGGCATGGTGCTGCTCGCCGGACGCAATTCGGTATATACGATGTTGAGGAGAGACACCGCTGGCCGGAAGACAATTTGTCCCTGCCCGTGGGAGCAGGGACCCCGAGAATCGCCTCGTCGACTTTGTCGAGAGACTTTCCCCCAGTCAAGCCGAAGCGTTTCTATACACGCATCGGTGGAGATGATGTATACAGAGGTGGGGGAAGCTTGCTCTGACCGGTAGCACATGAATCACCATGCGATAGGCCGCCCGGCGGACGGCGATAATCCCTACATTGTTGAGCAAGGCACGCCAGAGACGGAGGCGTCAACGACGGCATGATGAGCCTTCTTCCACATCGGGCTGCTCACGCGAAGGCTTCCTGTATCCACATCTTCGAGCGGGTTGCGACCGAGGCGGGCCAAGGGCCAGACAACATGGAAGTGCGTCGGAACACTGAGGTAGGGCTGCGCAAGGCACTTGCAGGAAGCATTTCTGTATATACACGGTGCGGCAGGAGGGAGTCGGTCCACAAGGCGCTAGGTGGTCTGGATGAATCTGCCTACGCTGTGGAAAAGGCCCATGCATCGCCGACGCCTCGCACGCGCTTGTCGGTATCCACCTCAGCAAAGGGGCTATCTGGTATCAGCCCACATCCATATGGCGGGGGTGGGAGAGTATTGTGGTGAGCATGGTAGGCATCGCGAGTGGTGAGTAGTGTTCGCTGACGGATACAGGTCAGTACGAGGCCTGCTCACGAGGCTTCCAAGACATACCTAGCAAGTCGGATGTCTGTGATCACGGCTAAGTCTTGGAAGTAACCACCCATGCATTATCCACGGTGTCTTATCCTCGAGGTTCCGAAGCGTCTGCCCGGTGACCTTCTGTCCGCAGGCTAGTATCAGCCTCGCGGCAGCGTCTCTGTGCTCGCCATGGTGACATGTAGACGGGTACTGGGAGTGAGGCGCACAGAACGCAGACGTAGGTGATAGGATGGCACGGGACTATGGTGAGATGAGCTGATGTCCTATGTCCGCGACGAGGCAACAACATACCATCATCCGGCAGTGTGGCGTCGCCGTAATCATCCTCTTCCGCGCGCTCCATTGGCAGGCTCGCCCTCTCCCCCATCCAATCAGGTTAATTGGTGTTGACCCGAGCGAGAGTGAGGAAGATGTAGACAGTGCACAGGATAGGGAGGATCTGGGACGGTCGCATACAATCGAAGTTGACATCGGAGCCTTCCCAGAAGCACTGGGCTAGCGCTGCGTGTCTATGGGAGTGCTGATGAGGTAGAGGGGAAGTCGGCAGTAGATTCACTAACCATGACGCGTTAGTTCGAGTATATCGGTGCAAAAGACACAACAACATACACGTCTCATTTAATGCTCCATCCCAGTCTGTTGCTCATACTCCATCTGCTCTCCAATAACTCCCGCCCTTCGCCTTAAATTCGTAGTTGCAGCTGGTGGTGCACGGGGCAGACAGTGAGAAACACATGTAAGTCGCCATTGACCCTGAGGGGAGAGACGGTAGGCGGGCGCAGGGCACCAAGGACCGAGACGGAAGCAGAGGATCATGGAGAACGATCATAGAACTGGGACAGAGAGTCTGACTGCACTACAGTTAGCGACCGAGTCCTCGTTGATAAAGCGCACGACGCGGACGCACCTTGACTTGCGTTGGCGTGTGGCAGTGTCAATTGCCTAGATTGGACGATGTGGCGGATCTGTCTACGCGGTCAGCATTCTCCCTTGTTCGTCGCAGCAGCGCAAAGAAATACCTACGCAGCTATAGATTCAGACCGTATAACTATGATGCAGCCGAGGGACGAGCAACGAAGGACAGATGGGTGTCTGAGCGAGCAAGCGAGGGTGGCGGCAGATGGGCGATGGCGGCAGATGGGTGATGGCGGCAGAGCAGAATGTATGGTCAACCAGTCGAGCATAATGAGGGCATAGTGACGGGCTATGGAGGTCGACTAAAGTGAGAACCAGCCTTTATACTTGACAACCCCTCACTTGATCCCCGTGTTGACAGCCACCTTCCAAGCAACTGAAGCCAGAATCCCGCCCGAGGACAGGAAGGCTTGTCAACAATGTTGGTCCGATGGGCCCGGATTGCGGAGATTATGCGTCGTTCAATTTGATCCAGGCATAATCTCCGTACCCCGAGATGCTCGGACCCACCGCGAAGCTGTCAGAGTGAAACATCCTGGCACAGCCCTTTCAATCCTGTGCAGTGTAAGAAGGCTCACTTCAGAGCTTGGAATTGCGTGCAAAGTCTCAAATCTCAGTAATGTGATTCACTATACTCTCAGAATACCAAGTAGATACGGTCACAACCAGTCCCTCATGAGATTTGAAGTCTGAGGTCTCAGGCTGGTACTTAGAGCATAAGCTTCCCAGCTTTCGAAGTCCTGTCAAGCTTGGCAGCTCCTTGACAGGATACAGGGTGTCACCCTGTCTTCGGTACATGAAGACTTGGAAGTGTACACTCTGAAACACACTCTCAGATTAATATGGAAATTGACTTACCAGGAACTATCTGGCATGCTATGGAAGCGGCCACTTCGAACGCATACCACACAGTTCCCTGGAAAGCTGATGGCTACGGAACGGACTCAGGGGCAGTGAGACCTTGTTCAAGCTCGCGCAGGGTACGTAGCTGCTGTACAGCTCCGGTCATCAGGAACACAATGAGTCAATTGAACAGTCGCAATGAGATTGTTGATCGCGAACTCTGCCGACGCTGCCCCTTCGGACTATTCTCGGGACTGTAGTGAACTTGAATACTGCATTGTGACGCAAACTGGACCAACAGGATGCCACAATGGACTGGCGACGGTCTATTATTCAAATGTGGTGAGCTCGCGGTTGGACAACAAGTGCTAGGACCGGACCCGTGCAAGTGATACCTTCCCAGTGAAGTTAAACCACGGTGGGTTGAGCACCCTTCAGCACGATTGTCCGGGACAGTGCCAGACAGCTAGCTTACCGTCTTGACCGCTCGGAGCTCCGATCCCGGTGCTGGAACTTGCACCGAGATGATGGAGGTGCATACTTGCGGTTGTCGAGATCTGGTAGGATCCATTGATCACACACGTTCAGTGCCGTTACTACCGAGCCATAGCGTGCGTGCAGTCAGCCCTAGAATCGACAGTCGTTGCTATGCCAGTGGTCAATCATTGAGACTTACCGCGTCGTCTGCATGTCAACAAAGACAAGTC